CCCTCCAAGACCCACAAAACCAGTGGAATCTCTTCACACGGGACCCTGTTCTTTCTTCTTTCAGGGCTTGGAAGGCTGAAACCGAAAGCCTCCTTCCTCTGCCTTCTCAGAAGACAGGACACTATCTGCACCTAGATCAGAGATGATGGCTAACGCTCACTGGGCGACCCCTGTCTTCCACGCTCTCAAATTCATTAAATCACTGTGAAGGAGAAAATGTGGCCAGCCTGCAGGAGGGGTTCTTAAAGGGCCCAGGCGAATTCAGCAAGCAGCCCCTCCAAGACCCACAAAATCTCCTCTTCTCACTGTCGTCCACCCTGCTCTCTGGACCGAAGAGGAAGAAAACATACTCACCGCTTCCGGGACGAAGGCTGAGCCAGCCGCGAGGTGGAGACCCGTATTTTGTCAGGACTGAATTCATGTTTGACCTCTGGGGTGGTGGCACCTTGCCTGGCCCTTGAGCCACGTGCTCGACCCACAGTCCCTGTCCCTCTCTGCCCAGCTGCAGTCCCAACACTGGAGGGCTTCTCCCAGACTCAGCCCCAACCTTAATTTCTCCAGCTGAATCGTCTGCACAGAAAACCACCGAGCTCTCAGCTCTGCCAATTCTCTTCTCTGACACAGGCCCCCTGGGCGCTGTATATTTTAACGTATGGACTCTGTGGCCGCGGTTTGCACTGTTTCCTTGCTGGTGGTTTCCTCCCCTTGGATTTTCCATCCCCAAATACCCATATGCTCCCTGGCACGCACTTCTCACACCGCTGGCTGCCTCAGAGGGTGCCTTCCCTCCTTTCCCAGAAAGCAGTGCCACAAAGACCCTCGTCTCTGCAATGCCAACAGCCAGCAGCAGCCCCCAGCTGGACTCCTCGGTCAGGAGGAAGGCCTGCAAGTTTGGTGGCTTCTTCCTGCCCGGCCGACACTCACAGCCCGGAGACGAGCCCAGGTCCAAAGCATTAGAAAAACCCAAGCCACAGTCCGCTGAGCAGCACAGCAGCATCGGGGCCAGTCGCCATGGCAACCCTTGGCTTCCCAGCCCAACACATTGTCTGCCCGGCTCACAGCCGATTCCCAAGACTGCTTACTCAGCTCCCGGGATCTCCAGATTGGACCTGCTGCCCCTCAACTCCAAGTGCGGCTCCTTTCAGACTGCTCCCTCACCCCGCGGCCCACCCTCTGCCCCATTCTGTTCCTGGCAAAGCCCTGGAAATAACTTTAACTCAGCCAAGGCTTTCTGGAGGCCCTACCTCACGTGGCTCTTCCCCTACTGCACAGATGGCCCCCATATTTATTTTAGCCACTGTTCAGGCTTGGCCTGTCAGCCAAGTCTCGTTGCCTCTACCAGGCCCCACCCTGGGAGCGAGGGCCGAGGGGCTGAGCTCTCGCTCTCGGAGAGGCGGTTACAGACACAGACCCCCGGCTTGCTGGCTAGCTTTCTTTCTATTTGAACTCTTCTGGGAGCAAAATTCTTTTCCCTGCTAATATACTCTCAAAGATAGTCCAGAAACGATTTAACTTACATACATGGGCCCAAAAGGAAAAATGAAGATGAACTCCCACTGGAGTTTATCCCGCTCAATACGGAAACAGAGAAAAGGTGCCGGGCACTTGCTGGGGTTTCCTGTCTTCCCCACTATGGCGCCCAGATTTCACTACCCCCTTTCGATGTTTTCCCCATGATTTCTCCTAAACATTTAAATAATTTCCGAGAATAAAATGGTCTCTCTCTATATGTAACAAAATTACACAATTAAATTCACATTCTCAAAAATATTTAATGATACAGAAGTTCGCATATTAAGTGAAAAGAGCTGGATAGAAACCACACATACAGTTAGTTGGACACCAGTTTTATAAAACAAACACACACGTGCATTTTAGGAAAATACTGGACAAGACAGCATCACAGCATCCACAGTGATTCCGTGGTGGAGGACTTCAGGATCATTTCCTACACGGGTGAACTGGTCACACAATTTTAAAAGCAGTTAGCGGGGTTTATGAGAAACTCCCAGGAGCGGGTGATCGGTGGAAGCCCTGGGACCTTCCTCTCCGGAGCCCTGAGCAGGACCCACAGCAGGAAGAACGCTGTTAAGGGAAACCTGCCCGGGGACCGCCGGGTCAGATGGTTTCCGGTGCCGACAGTTTCTGCTTTGTCCCAGTGTGACTGCGAGGGATACAATCGTGGTCCTGCCTTCTGGATTTACCACCTTAGAGACAGGCCGCATGCTAAGAGTTACTGCTTCAGCCTGCTGTAGACACGCCTCTCGCCCTCCTCATGCAGGGGCCCCCCCGAGGAAAGCGCTACCCACCCATCTTAGAGGACACAGGCTCAGGTTAAATACGCCCTCAAAGCGACACTGCTAGCCAGTGGCCCAGCCAGAAGGTGAACTCAGAGCTCCAACATCAAAGCCTGCTGCCTTAACCACTACATGGCCTCGACCAAATCTAAGGGAAACAACTACCAGACGCTTTAAGAATCACCGTCCCACATCCCTTGGTCCTCTCACCGTCTGTCGGGCAGAAACCTGAGTGCCCAGAAGGGTGAGGACCCGCCTATCACAGGCACCCCAGGAGCAGCAGCAGGCTCCCTCGCTTCAGCCGGGGCCCCACCACCCCCATGTCCTCTCTGGCCAGCTACTTCCAGGATTCGATTTTTCAAACACCAAGGCACCTCAAGAGGCAGCTCACCGACCCATCTCCCCTTTCCTAAGTCCTCAGTTCTAATCTGGGGTCTCAGAGGATACAGTGGTGTCTGCCCCCAAGGCCTATCGGGGGACAGATGGAAACAGAACTACCTGTCTTCACAGAATAAAATCAACCCTAGAATTGGAGAATCTTTTCATTTTCATGTCTACCTGTCCCGGAAACAGATCTATCTGAGAGCTGATTTTCAAGAACCACAAAATCAGTGACTAAGGGTTCTTGTTCTAAGTCATGTATTCCTTTAATTTTCTTAAAACAAGCATGTACTGCTTTAAAAATCACACAGAGAAATGACTCAGTTTTTGTTAAGAGTATCTCCAACGCAGAACTCTCACTACCCATCCTGAGACATCACAGACAGTGGAAATGACAGAAAGCCCAAACCATCGCCATTGATAATCAAACACACCAGGTGGATGCACCGTTGCCAGTCTGACTGGCACACCTGGAGCTGACCACAGCGCGCTGTCTCCAGCACCTCTGGATGCTGACAGAGGCCTAGGTGGGCTCCTCGCCCAGGCCATCTCCAGCCTCCGTATGGCCAGCTGACCAATGGCTGACAGCTCCCTCTAGCGGCAACGTTTGTTTTCTTTACCGATGGGGACTGAAGCCTGCAGCCTTAAAGGCCAGCAGGAAACAGGCTAAAAGCAAGCCTGGATTTAATGAAAACGCAGGCCACCACTTGCTGCTAAAGACCTACAGTATTATTGTTAAACTACAGGAACTTGGGAAGGAAGCAAAAAGTTGATGGTGGATTGTCTGTTAATAGTCTTTGCAAGGCCAAGAAAGAAAACCATGTACAAGTTAAATTTAGATATAAATAAGAAGCAACTAAGAAGCTAGACATTAGGGTGGGGGCGGTGGGATGAACTGGGCGATTGGGATTGATATGTATACACTAATATGTATAAAATGGATAACTAATGAGAAGCTGCTGTATAAAAAAATAAATAAATTTTTTTTAAAAAAGAAGCCCTTCCTGAAGGGCCCCCTTTGTTCCTGTGGTAGAAAGAATCACGGTAAATACAAGTCTCCATATGCAGATTAAACGGTTCCCACTGCAAAAAAAAAAAAAAAAAAAAAAAAAAAA